TCTTCTTTTCAAAAGTGTTTTCAAAAGTATATTTTAAATTCTGTATCCCAGCCCTGGTGGCTCACACCTTTAATCTCAGAACCTGGGAGGTAGAGGCAAGTAGATCTCTCTGAGTTCAAGACCAGTCTTGTCTAAATAGCTAGACCATGTCTCCAAAAAACCAAAAATATCCAACCCATCCACAAAAGTTTCGACCCAAAATTTACCCTGCCTACAGATATGCAGGGACAAAGATAGAACAGAGATTGAGGGAATATCCAGCCAATGCCTGGCCAACCTGAGACCCACACTAAGGGAGCAAGCCAACCCCTGACAGTATTAACAACACTTTGCTATGTTTGCAGATAGGAGCCTAGCACAGCTGTCCTCTGACTGGCTCCACCCAGCAATGGATCAAAACAGATGCTGAGACTCACAGCCAAACATTGGGTGGAGTGCAGGAAGCCTTGTGGAAGAGGGGAGAAAGATAAAAGGACCTGGAGGGAACAGGAACTCTACAAGAAGACCAGCAGAGCCAACTAATCAGGGACCAAAGGGGATTGCAGAGACTGAAGCATCCACCAAAGAACCATGCACAAACTGGACCTAGGCCTCCTACACAGATGTACCCAATGGACAGCTTGGTCTTCATATGGGTTTCCTAGTAAGGGGAGCAGGGGCTATATCTTATATGGACTCTGTTGCCTACTTTCTGATCACTTCCCCATGGTGGGGAAGGCCAGGCCCCTAAGGAAGAGGATGCACTTGGTCCTTATGCGTTCTGATGTGCTGGGGTTGGTTGTGGTTGGTGGAGCTGCCCTTTTCTGAAGGGTAGGAGAAAAGGGATAGGCGGAAGAGGAAGGGAAGGTGGAACCAGGAGAGGAGAGGAGAGAAGGGGCTATGATTGGGATGCAAAGTGAATAAATTAGTTATTTTTAAAAAATCCAATACAAAAAATAAATGAATTCCCAGTTCACTGTCAGCTCTATACTGTCTGTCAACTGGTCCTCTTGTCCCTTAACATGTGTTTGAATGGACAATCTTAACTGTCACATACTCAAATTTATAAACCCTTTGCTTATTAATGGCTTTTGTGTCTGTTTTAAGAAACCCTTACCAACACCCAAAGCTATGAAGTCATTCTTCTGCCTTACCCTCTGAATCTTCAGACTTTTGCTATTTGGGTATGGTTGGTTAGTAAGACTTAATTGATTCTCGCTCTCAGTGTGAGGTGGGGCTTTCATTTCATGTTTCTCCCTGCAGATACTAAGCTATCCCAGAGCTGTTTATTGCAAGTCTATCTCTTTACCTGCTGATCTGAGCTACCACCCAAGCATATATCAAAGGAACGCCGAATGGTCTGTCTGCAGTCCCTCCACTCCAGTCCATGGATGGGTCTATTTATCAAGCCCAGTGCCAATACTACTCAGCCTTAATGGTGATGGCTCTCTAATAAGTATTTATGTCTGGCACAGAGAGTCCTCCCACCTTATTCTTCTTCTCCAAGACTACCCACTCTTGGCCCTTGGCACTGCCATATAAAATTTAAAACCAGCTTGTCAAGTTCTAGAAAAAAACCTATTTGGATTTTAATTGAGACTTTACTGAGTCTGTAAATCAATTTGGAGAGAAATGACATCTCTACAGTGTTAATCTGTCTCCTCCACAGAGTGGTGTTTCTCTCCATTTATTTAGGTCTTCTTTAATGCCTTTCAATAAAACTTGGTACTTGCTCCATTAATGTATATATTTTGTTTTAGGTACTTCATATATATATATATTTTTTAATGTCACCATGGGAAAAGCTGATTTTATAACTGTTGCTAACTGAAGAGGAATGTAATTTTTTTTCAGTTGATCTTGTACCCAGCAGTTTGGCTTCTTGTGTTCATTTAGGCTAATTTGTTGTTACTTTTCATTTCCTATACAGGGCACCATGTTCATAAAGGAGTCTCCCCCTTTCTTTCTAACCCTTTCTAATTTTTTCCCTTTATTTTTCTTATCTCCTATATTTCTAGTATTTCTGGCAGAATTTTTATTAAGATTGGTTACTGTTGCAGGGTATGGCTGTGCTCACCTTTAATCCCAGTACAACAGAAGGCAGGGTCAAGTGGATCTCTATGAGTTCAGGGCCAGATGGTCTATACAGCAAGTGTCAGGCCAGCCAGAGCTGCATAGTGGGGCCCAATCTCAAAAACAAATCCTGATAATTGTTACCACTTGTATTTCTGACCTTGTGTCAAAGAGAAAGCTTTCAAGTTCATGATCATTCAGCAAAACATCTGGGCATGCTCTTTATCAGTAGATCAAGGAAGCCTCTTTCTGTCTTCAGTAGGAGAAAAGTTGTTATTATCGGGGATGGATACTGAATTTGGGCTTTCTTATTTCTTTTGCATCTATTGAATAAATCTGATGGTTTCTCCTGTAAAGTGTGAATGTGATGGCTAGTACTGACTGAACTTTTAATTGTGTGTCACTGGCTTAAACCGTTTTGGTTGTGGTTTAGGAGTCTCAAGAACAGGCCCTTGAATTAGGCCTGTTTTCAGACAGGCTTCTCTGTGCTTCCGTCTTCTCACATGCTGATATGGAGATAATAATCCTAACTTAGAACTATTGTAAGGTTTAGTAATATGTGCAAAATGCTTCAGGCAGTTCTTGGGATATACTAAGAAAATGTTGCTGGTTTTACTGATTAGATGACAACTAATTTAGAATTTTTGCAGCAGTAATTTTTAGTTTGTAATTTTTCCTCTTCACAAATCACCACAGTATTTGGATATTTTTCCTAAACTTATAAGCATAGTTGTTGGAGAATTGTGTGTGAATATAATCTTTCTTCTCTTCCTGCCTGCCTGTGTGTGTTCATGCCGAAACACCTGTGTAGAGGTCAGAGGGTGAAGTGAGAGAGTTGGTTCTCGCCATTCATCATGGGCTCCGGGGGCTGACCTCAGATTGTTGGGTTTGGAGGCAAGCTAACCTGAGCCTTCTCACTAGGATTGACTGTAATTTTCAGTTTGACTTATTTAATTGTTGTAGCATTATTTAAAATTTGTAGGTGTTATACCTTCACTTAGGAACTTATAAACCTAAGTTTTGTAATGTGTTTGGCCTAAAACTAGTTGTGGAATCTTATTATCACTTAAACATCTGTGCACCTGACAAGTCAGGAGGCATTTCTCCCTTAACGAGTAAGCACAATGGTGGGATCCTATTCTCATTTCTGACAATGGTTGTAGGGGGCTTGCGTCTTTATCCCTTTGGCCATTTGGAAAGGCTAGAATGAAGCTGCATTCAGTAGATGAGCAAAAGAAGCTGATGTGCAGAGAACAGAGGTCCCCAGCAACCCCAAACAGGCAGAAGGACATAGAAACAAGGGAAAAATACTAGCTGCCTGGGGAGAGGGCTGGCTTATGTCAACCAGTTAGATTTCCTGTAATTTGTTTTCATTATATTATAGTATTGAAATGGGGTCTAACTATGTAACCTGTGGTCTATCTTCCGTTTCAACCTTAATGGAGATGTCTGAGTGGGTTTCTGGGCCTTGTCACCAAAAAGCCCTTGCTCAGTCATGAGCCATGGGATAGCAGGCACTTACTGCTATTGCATTTGGTGCAGCAACTCAGGCTGGTTGACCAAACACTATTTTGAGCAGTGTCTCCATGAAGCAACTCATGATGACAAACAGGAAATACAGACTCAAGGCACAGTCCTTAGTCTCCTGGTCTCTTAGCTTATCACTTCTATAATACTTTTGAGAGAAATAATTGACACACAAAACCAGGAGCAAATACGTATTGGTACAAAAATCAAGTGCTTGGCTAGGTGGAGTGACTGCTAATTGGCAATGTGAGCCCAAAAGTGGAAATGGAAAACAATTCTTTAAGGAAACTGAGGTTTTGGGCTTACTTTGAAAGGACTGTCAGAAGCAGCCGGGATCTTGGGGAGGCTGGGAAGTGGCAGAGTTGAGGGGAAGCCACAGGTGCGTGGGGCTGGCCTTGAGCTTGTCTGCAGCCAAGGATAAAGCTGAGCTTCTGACTCCAACTCCTAAGTGCTAGAATTACTGGCATGCAGCTGCATGCCAGCTTTATGCAGTGCTGGGGATCAAGTCTCAGGCTGAGTGCATGATGGGCAAACACCCTACCAACCGAGTTACCTTTTCGGCCCTTAGCCATGTTCTCGACGGATTAATTGGATGTTCTAACATCTTCAGAATATCTTTTAATTATTCTTTGATGATGTTATGCATTCTTAGAGTGCATCTTGATTATACCCACCCTCCATTATCCTGTATCACCCCTTACACGTCCATCTTCCATGCTCATGACACCCCACACACCTTTACAACTCATTGAGTCCAAAGCATTGCTGCCTGCTGGAGTGTTGGCTGGTCATGCTGGCTTGGCCTGGTGCAGGTAATGAGCTCATAGGTGCAGCCACCATGCTGTCTCTAGGAAGATGCTGTCCGTGTTTTAAAAATTAATCTTTCCAGACTCCATCTGAGATTATTTTTCTTTAGCCAACATTCTTTAGTCATAGCACATTTCATTTCTCCACATTCTCTTTTCTTTCTTTTATATGTTTAAACTGAAACCATTCTGTGGGACTCTTTTTTTTTTTTTTTTTTTTTTCCTGGAAAGAATCCTCAAAAGAACAAGAAGACTGGCTGGATTGTTTGGAGATGATCTGTCCCTCTGAACTCAGGGCTTCTTCCAGGAGTTAAACAGTTTCTGCCATGAGCTGGGATGGAGGTGCAGTTGGGGTGTGGGTGTGGGGGGGTATTTCTCCCATTGTCAGTCTTTGCAACTGACCTTTACCACAGGGCAGAGGGTGTCAAGCAGTGCATGGCCCTCCCTCTGCCACTCCCCTCTTCTAAGTTCTCTTCTCCAGCAATTTCATCACTTCCTAGAATAGCCCAAACATGTGTGGTTTATTTCACTGTCAGTATTTAACAGGCACCAGTTTCCAAGGGATGGGCCTAGCTGGAAGAAGATTGATAGCTCAGGACTCCAAAAGCCAATTTCACAGGGTGACTCCCTGACTTCTGGAAAAGAGAGCAGCAGCCAGGCTGGTGGCACAGAGCTGAGACACGATGGAATCTGGCTTCACCTCGAAGGACGCTTATCTAAATCATTTTAATCCCCAGGATTACTTGGAAAAATATTACAGCTTTGGGTCCAGACCCTCTGCAGAAAACGAGATCCTCAGACATCTGCTGAAAAATCTTTTTAAGATATTCTCCCTGGGTAAGTTTGTCTGTCTAAATGTGGGTCTCATTAGGTCTCAGGGGATGACAGGACTTGTGTCTAGCAATCACAATTGGACAGTCTCTTGGCATCACTCATTTGTTTAATGAGAATAAAAATGAATGTTGGTTTAGCTATTTTACTGTTTACAAGGTTCTTTCATATCCATTGTCTTCTGTGTGGTTGTTAAAAGGAAGCCAGAGGGCCTGAGTGCTGTCACTGTAGCTACAGTGACTTTCTTGGTGGTTTGAAAGAGCTATTCAACCTCACAGGACACTTGAGGGAGTCTAAGAGAGCTGGGTGTGAGGGCATAGGATTCAAAAGACTGAGGCAAGAGGATCTCCATCAGTCTGAGGTCAGTCTGGACTACATAGTGTTTTTTGTTTTTTTCTGACTCTCCTGGGCTCCAGAATGAGACCGTATCTCAAAAAATTTTTTTTGAAAGTTTAATTTTACTCTTGATTGAAAAGCATATTTACTCATGAGGTAAAGACCTCCCCCAATATTAAAATCTCTGATCATTATTTAATCTCAGTGTTTTAATTTTTTATTTATATATGTCTGTGTAATGTGCATATATTGCATGCCTGAGCACACGTGGGGCCAGAAGTGGCCAGCAGTGGCCAGCAGGTGTCCTCTCCCCTCGCTCTCTACCTATTCCTTTGAGGCAGGGTCTCTTCCTAAACCTGGGGCTTCTGTAAGCCCCAGAGAGCCTTTCCTTTCGCCTCCTTTCAGAGATGGGGTCACAGGCATTGTGTGTTATTGGGTGCTGGGGCCTAAGTGCTGGTCCTCATTACTGTGAGGGAAGTGCTCAGAACTGCTGTACCATCTCTCCGGTCCCCAAATTCAATTGTTAAACAACAACAGTGAAAACTAACTCTGTACCAAAGCACTCCTTAAAAGTTTTTACACTGTCTGTGTTGCTATCTTTTGGGATCAGTGATCTGTATACCGGATGCAGACCGTACCCACCCCGAGACAGTAAACAGCTCAGTAAACAAGCCTCCATTCAGGGGTGGGGGTGGGGCAGGAATAGAAAATAGAAAGATGTCTTACCAAAATGGGGAGCGGGGAGCGGTGTAGCTGTCTGTCTGGGGGCGTTTATGGCACTGTGCCCGTAAAGACAGTGTCACATCAGCTCTGCCTGTCTATGATGCCCGATCCACCCCTCTTTCGTACCAGGTGGTGTAAAGGGAGAACTCCTGATTGACATTGGCTCTGGCCCCACCATCTATCAGCTTCTCTCGGCCTGTGAGTCCTTCAAGGAGATCATTGTCACTGACTACACAGACCAGAACCTTCAGGAGCTGCAGAAGTGGCTAAAGAAGGAGCCGGGAGCCTTTGACTGGTCTCCAGTGGTCACCTATGTGTGCGATCTTGAAGGGAACAGGTAGAGCAATGGGTATTGGTTCTTCAACTTTCCAAAGGCACCTGATGTTTCTATTGGACAAGAAATACCATTAAAAATCCAGCTGGAAAATACAAAAGAAACTCAAAGGGAACTCCAAGTGGAGGGCTCACGAGCATAGCTTGGGTGCCAAGCATACCAGCTGACTATTATTTTATTGCTAATCATCTATCACAAATGTGGATGCTGACACCTCTGGAAACAGCAAAACGTTGACAGATTCTTTAAGCAACAGAAGCAAACATGAAGCAACTATGGGAACATTTTTCTTACTCACCATCCATAAAATTAGAGCCTAAAGGGAGCTGCAAGATGGTCAGTGTGTAAAGTGCTTGTCATGGAAGTACAAGGACCTGAGTTCAGATCCCCTCCCATTTATTTAAAAAGCTGTACCTTCTCCAGTGGATCTTCTTAGCATCTTTATTGAAAAACAGTGGCTGCAGATGCATGGCTTAGTTCTAGGCTGTCTATTCTTCTATTATGCTTCATTATTCTGTGTGTGGGGGGGTTGTGTGTGTGTGTGTGTGTGTGTGTGTGTGTGTGTGGCAACACTGTGCTATAGTTTGGTAACTATAACTTTTTAGTTGTTGTTGTTGAAGTGAGGTAGTGTGTGATTCCTGATATTTATATATATTCTTGGAACTATTTGGGCTTTGTGTATGTGTGGTTGCATACAAACTTTAGATTTTTTTTCCCTAGCCCTGTCATTAGTGTTTTAAGAGGGATGGCATTGGCTCCACAGATTGCTTTGGGTAGTAAGGACATGTTCATGATCTTGGCTTTCCAGATCAGCAAACAGATCTTTCCATTTTCTTGGTGTCTGCACTATTCTTCTTCATTGATGATTTCATTGGCTTGTTTTAGTTAAATTCATTTTGAGGTTATTTGTGCATTTATTTATTGTAGCTATTGTAGTAGGATTGACTTCTTGATTTTTGTTTCGTATAAGTCCCTATTGGGGCATAGATATTCAGATGAGGGTTCTGAAAAGATAGTGCTTCTTGGTTGATGGTTAAAGGAACTAGCCTTTAACCATCTATTTGTTTGTCTCACCACCCACACATCTATCTGCCAACTCACCCATCTCTCCACGCACCCACCCACTCATCCATTTACCCATCCCTCTATCTATCCACCCACCCATTCATTCATCCATTTATTGGACAGATCCAAACATTCATCTACACACCCATCTATCCACCCACCCACCTACCCACCCATTTACTCATTCATCCACCATCCAATATTATCCATCCACTCACCCACCCACCCATCCATTCATTTATTCATCTGTCTATCCATCTGTCCACTCAACCATCCATCCACCCACCTACCCATGTATCCACCAACCCATCCATCCATCCATCCATCCATCCATCCATCCATCCACCTACTTACCCACCTATCCATCCATTTATCCACCCACCCATTTACCCACCCACTCATCCACCCTCTTATCTACCAATACACTCACTTGTCCATTCATCCATCCATCCATCCATCCATCCATCCATCCATCCATCCATCTACCCATGTATCCATCCATCCATCCATCCATCCATCCATCCATCCATCCATCCACCTACTTACCCATCTATCCATCCATTTATCCACCCACCCATTTACCCACCCACTCACCCACCCTCTTATCTACCAATACACTCACTTGTCCACCCATCCATCCACCAACCCATCCATCCATCCATCCATCCATCTACCTACACACCCATCTACCCATCCATCCACCAACCCACCCATCCATCCATCCACCCACCCACAAAATCACTCATTCATCCACCTACGTACCCACACATCTAAGCCACACACCTGTCCATACACCCACCCATCCATCCAACAAACCTAGGTTGAACAATTGTGATGCGCCCCATAATACTAGCTCTTAGTCTGGAGCAGGGGATGAGACAAGAGAAGCCCTTCTGTTACATAGCTTCTATCAGAAGGCAGATAAATGTCTGATCATTTAGGGCCTTTGAGGCCATGTTAAAGATTATGACATTCAGTAGCAAGTTGAGAGGCTGTTTTCATGTGATAATTTAACTTAGAAACTTCTTACACATTTGGCATAAGTGAAGATACATTCTTAAAAATGACATGAGTCTTGTTCCTTTTTTTTTTTTTATGAAGTACATGATTCCTCACTAGCTGTGAGGGTTCAGATGCTCTGAAAACATATTAAACAATGAATTTGTGGGGATTGATAGAATTTCAGAGAAAGTTTATTAAACAGAAATTCTCTGCTACTATGAGACAACACATCTTTCTGAAATCCAAAGCACATGTCTGGAAGGCCCCGGGAGCTGCAGTCCCACTTTCCCTAGACATCACAGACCACATCTCATTCAAAAATGAACCCTTCAGTCTAGCAAGATACTAAAAGAATTACTTATCTCCCAGCAAAATTGTCAGCTCAGAACAATTTCCTCTTAAGACACCCTTCCATCCCCATCACTTGGCTCAGATGAGGAACTGTACTTTTGGCAGAAAGTGCCTGCATCCCGCCCTTATCCTCACACCAGATCCAGCGGCTTCAACTATTTTGAGAACGATAGTGATCCCATTTGGCTTATGTCTCTCTCGAATCTTCGAGTATCTCTATCAACCTACAGTCCATTTCCCCCAAGATTATTTCTTCTTTATCTAGAGATATTTCTTATGCCGATGGCTTCCAAGGACAATATGAGCTGGCTGCTTTCTTCTGCTGCTTTGGGAGTACAACTTAGATATTTAAAAAAAAAAAAATCATTCATTTCACAATTGTTTGAAAGTTTTAACCCTTCAGTACCAAACCCTCACATTAAACCATGAGTATTAATGTTACTACCTTAGGTCTGTCATGAGCAAGGAGAATAGTTTCCTGCCGTATGAAATGATAGAAATTGGAGCTGGCTTGGTAGTTGGAAGCCATAAGAAGCCTTGCTGTTGTTTCAGGGAGGCTGACTTTGGTTCCAAGCACCCACATTTGCGTAGCTCACAATTACCTGTAACTCCAGTAAGGGATCCCTCTTCTGAGTTCTAAGGGCACACATGCACACACAGAGGACAGAGACTTTCAAGCACTCCTCTAGAGAGCAGTATCCCCACTGGTCCTGTCAGGAAAGAACTAGAACACTGAAGAAAATGGCTGTTTTCTGAAGCCAGAGCTCTCTGCACAGAGGCTGGTAAAGGTTGGGCATGGTGGCACATGGTGGCATTCAGGAGACAGAGACAGGATTATCAAGTTCTAAGGCAGCCTGGAACCACAGAGTAAATTCAAACCTAGCCAGAGCTGCAAGGCATGTGTTTGTTTTCATTACTGTATTAATCTAGCTGCCTGATGCTTTTAAGCCCATTCTAATTGGTTTTTATATTTACAAAAAAAGCAAAAAAAACAAATGGGAGGATTGTCACTAAAATGAACACCAAAGCAGTAGCAAAAGTGTGTATATTCAAAAATATGCACAGATCTTGATGGGCGTGGTGACTATCTGGTGACTGTCCATGTCACTGAGTTATCCCTCTTTTAGATAGGTACTCTCCCAAGTCTTGAGTACATCATCTCTTTGGGAATATTGATGGGATTGGTTGAGAAACCTTCAATTAGCCATTTCCATCAAAGGACCTGAAACTCAGTGTACCCAAAGTAAAGTGATGGCCCACCCCTGACCTCCTTCACAGCTAGTATGCCTGGCTCCTTGAATGATACCTTCAGACAATTAGTTGGATAGATGGATGACCCCAGAGCCTGGAAGACAACCTTGTAATCTCCCTCTCTGTCATTTCTTTTGTCCCTTTTTCTCCCTGCATCTCCTGTTAGTCAGTCTTACTTTTGAGATATTTACAGACATCTCTATCCAAGCTACCATGCCTGAGGAAGTAGGTTCCCACCTCTGCCATTGCTCATTTTTACTCAGCTCTCTATAATCCCAGCGATCATCTCAAGACATACTTCATTAGGACCCTTCCCCTTTTTAAAGCAAGGTCTTACTTGGTAGGCCAGGCTACCCTCCAACTTGTGATCTTGTTTCTGTCTCCAGGGTATAATGATTATTGGCATGTGCCACCACATACCTTTCCACAGCACCCTTTAGATGTCCTAGGATAGATGGCAAAAAATCCCAGTTTTGGAGACTGGTCTCATTGTATAGCCCTCATATACTAGAACTTGCTTTGTAGACCAGGCTGGCCTTGAACTCACAGAGATCTGCCTACTTCTGATTCCCAAGTGCTGGGATCAAAGGCATATATTACCACACCTGGCCCAGAAGGTAAAATTTTGAACATAATCCACAAAGCCTTGTCTTGTCTGGCACCTAGCTGCTTGACAATCTAGCCCCATGGGTACATGGTACCTTATGTCTTCTAGCAGGTGGCCTTTGCACATGCTGTCTTCTCATTCTGGACCAGCTTCCTCCCCTTGCTCCTCTCTTTGGCCTGGTCAGTGATGATAACTGTCTCCTCTGCATCTCTGCTTACCTGGCTCCTGTTCTCTCCCCCGACAGAATAGATCAAGCCAGGATCCCAACATCCCACGTTCCTTCCCTCCTTGCATTTATGTGCTTCACTCACATTTTTATAGGTGATCCTTAGATTTAACTATTTTTCTCTCTTTCCCTCTGTTACCTCCAGGAAGACATTTTGTCTCTTTTGTTCATCCCTGAGTCCCCAGTACTCAGCCTATAACACGAGTCCAAATGCAAGTGTAAAATAAGTGAATGAATGTATTCTGCCTTCCAGACTCCATTCCCTACCTATATTTTCTACTTGAGGTGTGAACCATGCCAGAGAGTTATGGGAAATTCTTCCTGCCACTTATCAAGTTTATTCGACTTTTCTTTTTGTTGTTGTTTGGAAACAGGGTCTCCTGTATCACTCCTGACCTCAAGCTCCTTATGTACTTAGGAATGGCCTTGAACTCCTGAACCTCCTGCCTCCACCTCCTAAATGCTGGGATTAATGGCATGTGCCATCACCCCAGGCTTCTT